GAGGCAGAGTTTTGGGAGGTGCTGAGGGGCCTGGTGTGGCCTCCAGTGAGAGTGGTGACTTCCTGGCGCAGGAAGCGCTGGGGGTGGCGGGAAGTCCCGGGCTACTCTTTCCAAACACTGTGCTCTCTGAACGCTGAGATACAGCCACGTTCTGTTAACCCAAAAGCTTTAAATTCAGAGTCTGGTCTTAGGTTCTTTGCGCTACTTAGACCTCCCGAAAAAGCAGTCTCTGTCGCAGTCAGGCACCTGCGCACCCGGCCTCTGGGGCTGGGGAACGAGAATCACTGCTTTGCCCCCCCCCCCCCCGCCCAGTCTCTGAGGCCCGAAGCTCGGGACTCACTCCTCCCTCGGCCACGCCTGCTCCTGCTGCTCCGAGCCCGGCAGATCAGTGTCCCGGGACTGGCGGTGCTGGCTGCAGAGCAGGAAGGACGGATGGGTAGGGACCGGGAAATGAGGAGCCTTTCTTGCAGCCTTGATTGGGGTTTTTGGTTTCTGTAACCAGTTTCCTTCTCTGCTGAGTCCCACGCGCTTGGGTTTATAATGTGGCCGAGATTAACGTGTGGGGAGTTTTGCTTTGGGTTTTTTTGTTTGTTTCTTTTTAAGCTTCCCTTAAAAGAATGAATAATGGAGAGAACTCTTTAGCAAGGTCTTGGTTTCTCTGGCAACAAAGTAGCTTGTCTGCTTGTATGTGCGCCTTTGTGTAGGGTCCGCTCAGTAGATGGTACCCACAGAGAACTGGTGTCTTGGTGTGTCGTTGGCAAGCCCTTCCCCCATCAGTCCTGGTGCGAGCCGGCTGGGCAGGGCTGCTGGTTGAAGCGCGCTGCAGCAGGGGGCGCGATGGGTCATTTGCTCAGTGGACTAAAGATGACCAAGCGAAGTGAATTACCTTCAAATAATTGGCGTGGGCAGGCTAGTAGCTGGGAAGTGGGCTTTTCATGAGATGCCCAAAGCTGAAAGGGTCTTGGACCCACTGCTCGTAGGTAATGGAAAGACAGTCGCCCCCTTCGTGTCTGCTCCTTCCAGATAGTCGGATCCAAAAAAGCTGTTCTTTCCCACGCCCCTGCCTTGCCCTCCTGTTAAGATCGGAACAGGGATTGATTTATGTCCCGCCCCTGAATACATGTAAAATTTGTACAAAAATATCTTCTATGAAAATGATTTGTAATCTGTAGACTTAATACCTGGGAGATGTCTTGAGATGTAAAATCCCATCCTTTGGGTTGTGGGGTTTTTGTTTTCTCCAAATAAATCTGATCTTTAAAGTTCATTTTAATGGTGAGATTGATTTGACACACAGTGCTTCGCGCCTGCCTCCCCCACAGATGGGCGGGGTGGCCTTTCCCCCCTCCCCCTCCCCCCTCCCAAGTGCAAGATCCGAGGCTGGGGTTCCACTGCCTACAAGGTCTGGGAATTTGCATCCCAGCTCCCCCTGGTGTTAACTTGCATCGCTCATGGGGCTCAGAAGCCCTCTGTAATTTGCCCAGCACTGGGAGGAGAGGGCCCTGGGCCCTGAGGCCTTGCCTCCTGCCCGCAGCTCCTTGAGAGTGCTGATGGAGGACCTGGAGCCGTGGGGATTTTCCAAATGGCCAAAGACAAGCTGGGCATTGTTGGAAGGCAGGCAGGGGGTTAGGACAGTGGTGGATGAGCCCTAAGGTCATGCGGAGGTGGAGCACAAGGAAGCCCAGGGGACTTCAGTCTGCACTGTTGGGGACTGGAAGCTGTTAGCAAGGTCACGTTCTGGGTCAGCTGCAGCAGCTGCTTTCCCAGCTGAACTCTGGGTAGCTAGAGTTTCATCTGCCAAGATGACAGGAAAGCCTTCATGTGGGGGAGAGCTGCCCAGGCTGCCCGCAGCGGCCATAGGCTCCCCCTCTGTCCCCTCCAGGCCTTTGCCCAAAGCCACTCCTGCAGATGGGAAGTGGAGAAAGCTATGCTGAGAGAGGAACTCCCTGTGTAAGTATACTCTCAAGGAAAAGCTCAGCTCTGGCCCGGCCTCAGAGATGCGGGGCCCCTCCCAGGAGCCCGGCTGCAGGGATGGGGCCCGGACCCCCAGCCCTCTCTGCCAGCCACTTGGGTCTGCCTTGGGCTGTTTGGCCTGGGTGTCCTGGTCCACGCTGTCTATTCCCGGAACAGGGCTACGCTCGGGTCTCAGGCCCCTGAGGGTTCCAGCTGGAGCTGAGGGCGGCACCCCCCAGAGCTCCGCATCTGGTTTCTCAGGAAGTGGGGGGGCTGCACATCTGCTCCTGGGAAGCATTATTTGTCAGATCGTTTCTCAGCAACCGCCATAGCCCCCAGGGCCACCAGAGCCGCGGACTTGCCCTCCCTCCACCTCCCCCCAAAAAAGTTGAAGAGACCACTGCTCCCCGCCCAGCTGTAGCGACCTCTGGGACGGACAAAGCACCCTCTGTCCTCAGCCAGGAGAGCCGCCTTTCTCCCTGCTCTGCCTGGTTCCCAGCACCGGAGCCCTCCGGGTGGTCTTCCACCCCTGAGATCTGAGTGCACTGTTACGGCTATGGGGTCGCCCCAGACCACGGAGAAGGAGGAGGAGGTGCCCCCGTCAGCGGCAAGATGGGCCGCCCTCTGCCTGCTCAAGGTAAGCCGGCTTGCGTGGAGGGAGGTCCGCTCCGCCTCTCAGCCTCTGCCAGGCTTTCCCTTCCTCCTCCCCTCCCCTCGCTCTGCTGGGCTCCCCGAGGCTCTGGCTGCTTCTCAGGACGCCTGGCTGGCTCGGGCAGGCAGACCCCCGTGTGAGCACAGAGCTCAGCTGCCCATCCCCTGAGCCTCTCCCAAATCCTGGGACCCTCACAAGTTCCTCTTTGCCCTGCCACCACCGCCACCACCCCCCACCCACCGGCAGCAGCTGAATGGGAGGCTGTGGCCCCACCCCCCTCGGGAGCCAGGCCACTTCCTACCTTTAGGGAAGAGAGCCGGCCCCACTGCATGCAGCCCAGCACCTGGCCAGTGACCGCAAGGAGCTGCAGGCTCCAAAGAAATGACCAATCTCCTAGTTCAGGTGCCTCGCTGGAGGTCACAGAATGACCGCAGGCCCTTTCCTTGACTCAGCAGCCTCTGCGCTCCCGGAGCCTTCCCTAAGGCCAGCCTCTCTCAGGTCCTCCCCCACCCCCAGCCTCCACTCCGCCCCTCCAGACCCCCGTGGCACCCAGCACTGCCCTAACCTCTGCCAGGAGCAAGATGGAGGCTCCCCAGCCCCCAGCTGGCTCTGCCTGTCTCCTGGGGCCTCTTCCCGCTGCCAGAGTAGAAAGCAGTGCCCCGCCCCTCCTAATCAGAACCAGGCTCCCCGGCCTTGGCCAAAGACAGGATGAGCCCAGAGGGGCCCCAAGAGTCAGTAGTGGGCAGGCACTGGGCCTTCCGCCCTGGGCACCGGCTTCTCAGAATCCTCTCCCCGCCCCCCTGTTTTCATCATGGAAAATCTGGGGCGCGGGGGGGGGGGGGGCGGTGAGGTGAGGGAGGGCCAGCGTGTGTCCGGGAGTGCTCACTGCTAAAGAACTGGGGCCTTGGAGTGACAACCGGCTCAGGGCTCTAGGACGGAGCCCCCTCCCCCCACCTTCCCCTCCAGTCCTCGGGGGTCCCTTAGCTCCCTTCCAGGAAGCTCCTAGCCCGTACTAGGTAGCATCCAGACACTGAAGACAGTGACGGACACGTGAAGCCCTTCGCAGCCATACCTGGGGGGTGGGATTGCCCCCAGAGAGCGGGGCAAGGGATGGGAGGGGCTTGAACCCCATGCGGACATCCTGGGCTGGGAGCCTCTTAGGGAGACTAGCTCACTCGGGGCAAGGTGTCCAGGGACTAGGGACACCAGCAGCATCAGGGGTCTTCAACGATGCTGGTGCCGACCCTCAGGGCCAGGCCCAATCCCACGCACTGCTGTGGCGTGGCGGGGCCGACAGGCTGTGAGCCCTCGCTTCCAGTGCCTGCTGGACCCACGTGCACCCTTCCTTCGGCATCTGCCTGCCTGCCCGGGTCGCGCCGCTGGACTCCCCGTCCCCGGGCTTCTCCCAACCCCTCTCCCCACCGCTCGGCTCCTCCTGTCCCCGACTCGCTCCCTGACCCGGCCTCTCCGCCGGGCCCTGCGTCCTCGCCTCTCAGCTCTTTGTGAGTGTGGGTTCGCGGGAGAAGATGGGGAGGAGAAGAGGGAGAGAGGAGGAGGACGAGGGGCGGGGAGCGGGCGGGACGTGGGGATTGGAGCCGGGGCGGGCGGGAGCGGGGGAGGAGAGAGCGGCCGCGGGCGCGGGGCGCGGCGGGAGCCG